TATTGACATAAGGGTAAAAGGGTAATTGTAGACATAAGTATTATCACAAAAGATTTTGTCATATCACATGACATTTTAGTAACTTGGATAGCAGTGATGTGTTGTTAGATACTGCTCATTGTTTATTATGTTAAATGTGTAATTTAATATAATTGTCAACGTCGCGAAAACCTACAGGTCACACACATAAGGACACATTGATAAGAGATAGAGTAAATAAGGAACACTGTAAGGTACAGTGCACTTAAGTAAATGTAGAACAACGTATGGTACGGTGCACTTAAGTAGAATACAGAATGTGGTAAGGTACAACATGCTTAGGTGATATGTGGTACACCATAAGATATGATGCACATACACTATAGTGAGCTTTTTAGCTTGCAACCCACACAAGTGGTTCTATAAATAGAACCCTTGTACAGAAGTATATACTCTTGATGAAAATTCAGACTGTGAAATCCTAGTAGTATTTTTCTTATCTCTCTCACTCAAAGCCTTCAATCGTACCAGCTAGCGCTGTGACTAAAGGAATCTATTTGTGTGGAGTGAGTAGAGACGTTGTTGTTCATCATTCAACACTTGTGATCACTCCTTCGATTTAGTATCAAAAGTTTTTCGTCACAAGAGGTAACAGTTTTTATCATTGATCATGTCCATTCGTAAAGATCACTAAAGGGGAAATTTTAATTTCCACTGCATTTTGGATCACGATTTCCTTTATTACATTGGATCATGCACAACCTACTCAACTTGATATGACTCCTGTTCAACTTGATATGACTCCTACAACAGCTTCTAATCAACCTGCAACACATGTTTCTTTTGATTATGACATCAATCTTATGTAATATAAAACTTATGTACTATTTTGTTTGGAACACCAATCTTATGTAATATCAAACTTCGGTACTATTTGTTTGGAACATTAAAGTGGTGAATTTCTGTTATGAAATTTATTGTTTGGAACATCAATGTTGCTATGTTGAAATATGTGATTTGCAAATGGTAACAGTTGTGTCAATTACTATCATCAAGGTTTTGTGTTATTTCATATGGTAATTATGTATTGTCAACTATCATGAGTATGATTACAAGATGTTGGGCAGTAGTTTGCCAAATTGTGCAAAATGTGCTAAATTGTTTAACATTATGTACCGTCAAGTTATTGACATTTCATGTTAATTCAATTCTGTTTGCAAGTTATGTAATGTGAGTTGGACTGTCAAATGAAAATTGTGCTTGTAAATTGGACTATCATATGCAAATTAAGACAAACTATTTCAACACCTTTCATTAACAAAACAAACCCAAAATACATTTCATATCTTGACAGTTCAATACATTGCAAACTCTTCCTTGACATTGCAAACTCAAAGAAAACACAACAAATTCAATAATTACATTTTAAAACCAAATATATGTTAACCATAAAAGACATTGCAAAACACAACATCTTCAAAATTTCCATGAAATTTCTCTGCTTTCAGTTTCGTCTTCAAATTCTTGTTCTTCTTTCTTGATTCTTCATACAAGGTCTTCATATAGCCCATAGATGGCATAGCTTTCAGCTCTGAGTTCATAATGTTTCCATTTTCATTTCTAGGTTTTGCTCCAAAGTCTTCATCCCATATGAAAGAGTCACACGTATCAGCATTTCTTTAATAGTAACGTTTTAAAAAAAAACCTTCCTTTATTAGGTTCATTCTTGTATTGGTATGAAACCATATGAACCTGATATCCATAAAACTTCCCAGCTCGCAATTTTATAGAGGCAGACGACATTAGGTTAGGTTAAGAACAAAGCTTTTATAGGAATAAGAACAAAATAGACGAAAAAATAGCGAGGCTTTGGTGAAAGCGAATGAAACTTTGATAGGAAGATGAACGAAGAAGATGAAAAAATGAAGCTTGATTTAGGGAAGATGAACAAAGAAGACGAAGATGAACAAAAATATTAAGTTAGGTTAAATGAAAATGCATCAGGTTTCAACTTATTTTAACTTGTGTAATTTTTCATGTTGTTATTCATTTAAATAAAAATAATAATATTTTTTTAATTCACTTGTACTACCACGTAAGTATTCATTAGTGACATTTAACGTTAAACACCAATTATATGGATGCATTTGAGGGACTACTCTTTAGAAAAAAAATTATAGAGAAACTAAAAATATAAAATGATCAGAGAACCAAAAATATATTTAACCCCAAAAAAATCTCCTCTCAACCTTACTACATTCATACAAAGATCCCAGTTCTATTTTTTTTCCTGCCCAGTTCTATTTTTTTTCTGCACTTTTAAAATTTTCATAACTTTTACTCCTTGAAATTGGGGAAATTTTACCCCATGCCCCTACAATTATACTCATACCCCTACATAAATTTTTTTGGACCAAAATACTCTCGTATAAAAATTTATAATTTTTTTCATTTGTTCACCGGAAGACTTTTTGCAAGTCTTCCGGTTCATATTTTTTCTGTTGTTCACCGGAAGACTTTTTGCAAGTCTTCCAGTTCACATTTTTTCTTTTGTTCACCGGAAGACTTTTTGGAAGTCTTCCGGTTCACATTATTTTTCGTTTGTTCACCAGAAGACTTTTTGCAAGTCTTCCGGATCATATTTTTTTCGTTTGTTTACCGGAAGATTTTTTGGAAGTCATCCGGTTCATTTTTTTTTTAATTTATAAATTTTAAAATAAATTATTCACATTATGTGTCATTTTTCTCTCTCCCATTCATATTTTATTTTATATTAAAAATTCATTATTGAACATCAATTCATTTTTTTCTTACTCAATAAATTCAGATTTTTGCCTTAAATATATAGTTTTCATATACCGATAATTTAAATTAGAATAAAAGTATTATTAATAAAATAGTTGAGACAAGTGAGTAAAAAACAAATAGATCATAATCTTTTTCATTATTTGCTTGTTGGGACTATATTATTATTATTATCAATATTATTAAGTTTTTTATTATTGTAATTATTATTATTATTATTATATATATATATATATATATATATATATATATATATATATATATATATATATATATATATATATATATATATATATATATATATATATATATATATATATATATATATATATATATATATATATATATATATAATAGTTATTTTTATGTAATAAAATAAGAATGAATCTGAACTATTAAATTTTAAAATAAATTATTGACATTATGAGTTTGTTTTTTCCTCCATCATTTATTTTATATTAAAAAATTTATTATTGGACATCAATTCATTTTTTGCTTGTTCAATGAATTCAGATTTTTTTCTTAAATATATAATTTTCGGTCAATGTTTGAATCCAGAAACTTATATATAATTTTTTTAAATATAAAATTTATTATTGGACATCAATTCATTTTTTGCTTATTCAAAGAATTATTAATATATGTTTCGGTCAATGTTTGAATCCAGAAACTTAAAATAATTCTTTGATATTGGATTAAATAAAATTAAATGACTAAGAACTATAATTATATATTATATATTCTACTTTTGATTTGAATTCATGAATAGAATTAAAAAAACCAACATTAAGATGATTAAAAATATTATAATATTTGACAATATTATATAAATGTTAATTTTAATTTTTAATAAATTATATGATAGGATGATAAATAAAAAAATTATAATTGACAATATTAAAAATTAAAAATAAAAAAAAATATGAACCGAAAGACTTTCAAAAAGTCTTCTGGTGAACAAACAAAAAAAGTATGAACCGGAAGACTTGCAAAAAATCTTCCGGTGAACAAGCGAAAAAAAATGTGAACCAGATTTCCAAAAAGTGTTCCGGTGAACAAAAGAAAAAAAATATGAACGAGAAGACTTGCAAAAAGTCTTCCGATGAACAAATAAAAAAAATTATAAATTTTTATACGAGAGTATTTTGGTCTAAAAAATATTAATGTAGGGGTATGGGTATAATTGTAGGGATATGGGATAAAAAAATTTGAAATTGAAATTTAGTGATGATCTAATTGTGAAATAAATTTTATCTGTGTTTGGATTGACCAATCTAAATATAAAATACTTATTCAATTCTTCAGATTTCTTACAACTTTAAATTGTTCAAATTCGGTGTAAAATGCAAATTCAAAGTTTTTTTTTGTTACCGCTCTGCATTGTTCAATCAAAAACTCAAAATATTTATTCAATCTAAAACTAAATGTAAATACAATGATAAAATAAAAAAAAATAAACAGAAATTTATGTCCAGATCCTATAAGGGTGCAACTTGAAGAAATAAGTTGATATTAAAAATAGGTCTTTCTAAGTACTTTTTTTTCTTGAAAAATATTTTATTTATACTCTTCAATATATCTCTATACTCTTCCTCATCTTTCTCATTTTCTAATGACTTGCTGAGCCATTATTTGGATTGTTCCTTCGCACAGTGCACACTAGGTGCTCGAGCAAACGCTAGCACAAAAAAACCCTATGCGAATTCAAAGAGCCCAATGTGCCATTACAAAGAGTTAACTTGTTCTCAAATGGAAGTGAAAAGGTAACTTAGAAATTGTCCTCCTTTTTCACAAGGACTTCCAGACATATTTTACTGAAACTGAGTCTAAAACACCAATTAATACTACAGCTTAGCGTTGTTCAGACACTCAGATCATGATAGAATCATGATGAATAACAATAGTAACAAGCATTTCGGAGATCCAATGTGAAAAAGTCATGCATATAATGACAGAATATTAAGGAAACATAATCCAGAATCAGATATATAAGAAACAACAATGCAAGCCAACATACAGAAACAAACAGATGGGTGCAGAACTACTCTAAACCATGTACCCAAATTCCCACTACCCTTCACCTCCATTTCCCAATTTGGAATTTCCATTCTCTCCACATTAGGCTCATAACAAGAATTCCTAATTACAATGCAATCTTCACTAAGAATAGAAGAGTACTACTGAACACACTTACACATCATACTTAGTAATTTCTTTTATTCATATGCATTATCAGGCTCTTCTTCCTCCTCATCATCAAAATCTCCTTCTTCATCAGCAGTGGCATCCTGGTATTGCTGGTATTCAGACACAAGGTCGTTCATGTTGCTTTCTGCTTCAGTGAACTCCATTTCATCCATGCCTTCACCAGTGTACCAATGCAAGAAAGCCTTCCTCCTAAACATAGCAGTAAATTGTTCGCTCACCCTTCTGAACATTTCCTGGATGGAGGTTGAATTACCAATAAAGGTAGAAGCCATGGAGAGACCTCTAGGAGCAATGTCACAGACACTTGACTTAACATTGTTGGGGATCCACTCAACAAAGTAGGACGAGTTTTTGTTCTGGACATTTATCATTTGTTCATCAACCTCTTTTGTGCTCATTTTACCCCTGAACATGGCAGATGCAGTGAGGTAGCGGCCATGCCTGGGATCAGCAGCACACATCATGTTTTTGGAATCCCACATTTGCTGGGTGAGCTCTGGAACAGTCAATGCACGGTACTGTTGAGAGCCACGAGAGGTGAGAGGTGCAAAACCAACCATGAAGAAATGCAAACGAGGGAATGGGATGAGATTCACAGCTAGTTTCCGGAGATCAGAGTTGAGTTGACCAGGGAAACGAAGACAGCAAGTTACTCCACTCATAGTTGCTGAGATCAAGTGGTTCAAATCACCAACTGCAACAAAACAAACAATCACACATTTTCAGTAATCACAAGCATCAACGACAGAACCAAGTTACCAAACTATTGAAAAATTAGTTGCAATCAAATTTGCTTAAAACATAAATAAACAGTCAAATTCATTCCCAAAAAAACATTTTACAGACAAACCAGTTAATCAAATCCCATAAATGAATCTTGTGAAAGCAATTTGACTGAAAAGTGCACAATATAAATAAAAGAAAAATCCATTATTATTCAAGAATCACAATAGCTGAACCAGAAAAAAAGTGATATGCATATGTACTCAAGTTAATTGACAATTAAATGAATCATCAACACCAAAGTGCCTCAGTCAATTGAATTCACATCAAGTGATGAATAACTGCAAGAGCTCATTATGAAAAGCTTCAACAATCAGATCAGTCCATTCAAATCCCTTAAACATACTGAATCAGTCTATCCAAGTCTTCAAAAATTATTACACACTCAATTCAATCATTCAAACTATAATAGAAAATTAATTTAATTAAATAAATGCAAATCAAGTGACATTTGACTGGAACAAATGCACAGAGAAAACCACAGTTGCTAGTCAAGCATTGTCATTATTCTACTGATCCAACTACTAATCCATCTAACAAATCAAATCAAAGAATCATTAACATGTAAATCTCCTTAGTCGTTTACAATATCATCATCACATCTCCTATCTAGTAACAAGCAATGTAAAACAAATTTAGATAGCATCAAAAGAGAACAATACTCACAGCTTGGAGTGGTCAATTTGAGAGTCCTGAAGCAGATATCATAAAGAGCTTCATTATCAAGAACCATACACTCATCCGCATTCTCCACCAACTGATGAACTGAGAGAGTAGCATTGTAAGGCTCAACCACAGTATCAGAAACCTTAGGCGAAGGAAACACAGAGAACGTGAGCATCATCCTATCAGGATACTCCTCTCTTATCTTCGATATCAACAGTGTTCCCATACCAGATCCCGTTCCTCCACCTAACGAATGACACACCTGAAACCCTACCAAAAACCAAAATCAAAATTAGTAACCGAAATTACACAAAAATCATCGATCCGGTTTAATCCAGCTCAGATCACTGATCATTAATCATTAATCAGTACGGCTCAGTTAAACTACCTTGAAGACAGTCACAATTCTCAGCTTCCTTTCTAACAACATCGAGAACCGAGTCAATAAGCTCAGCGCCTTCAGTATAGTGTCCTTTCGCCCAATTGTTACCGGCGCCGGACTGACCGAAAACAAAGTTATCAGGACGGAAGATCTGGCCGTAGGGACCAGTACGAACACTGTCCATAGTACCAGGCTCCAAGTCCATGAGGATGGCGCGTGGAACAAACCTTCCACACGATGCTTCGTTGTAGTAGACATTCACGCGCTCGAGTTGCAGATCTGAGTTTCCGACATATCTTCCAGTCGGATCTATGCCGTGCTCGTCGCAAACAACCTCCCAGAACTTCGAACCGATCTGGTTACCGCATTGTCCTCCTTGAACGTGAAGAATTTCCCTCATTTTGTTTGATTTTCCTGTGATTCAAACAGCAAAAAGGTTAATTTCAGAAATATTCAACAGTGAAAGAGAGATATTGATGAAACCAGATCTAGATGTAGAGAGAGAAAGAGATGAACCTGTGGCGGTGACGAAGTAGAGTGAGATAGTGAAGAGTGAGAATTTGGGAGCAGGGAAATGCTTGAGCGGGATTTTTATAGCAAGAGAGAGTGAGAGTTTGGACTAACGTATTGATTCAAGTCTGTTCCCTCGCTTTGAGTTGAGAACCAACATGAGCCGTTCGATGGAATCCTGCCGACGGTGGAGATTGAAATATTTGATTATTTAAATTTTGAAGTGTTGTTTGGTATTGGTCCAGAGTAATTGTGCTAGGACAGATATACCCTTTTGTGGAATGACGAAATAGTCCTTCTTGGGTAATTAATCTTGGAGGGGCACATGGAGGAGAGGTACGAGCAAGAGGAATAATTTGGACGTGGTAACTGCTTGTGTTGTAAAGTCTATGTCCGCGTCAACCAAATCCGTCAGTGAGAGAGACCTATGCTTTGTTTTTTTCTTATTTTTTCTTCTTTATTTGTAAAATTTTAAAAAGAAATTCTCCCTCTTTTGTTAATTATAGCATTCGTCTCAAAATAATTTAGTTAAAAAACAATAATACTAGTATATGTTTGAGACTGGCCGCCGGCTTTTATTAATTTTTATATATGATGATGATGTATGATATTTTTCAAAAGCCTATATTCATTAATGTTTTTTATAAAAAAAAAATTATATTTAAAGTATAAGAAAACATAAACTCTATTTCTCTCTTATGATTTTCAACAGAATTTAAATATGGTATAAATTTATTTAAATATATATTTTTTCAATTTTAGTCCTTGTAATTTTGTATGTTTATTTTTTTTATCCATATAATTATATATTATTTTACTTTTAGTTTTTTATCCAATTTAAAAAATTAATAATTTTTAATATGTTCATAATCTAGGATAATGTGGTCCTTAAAAGATGAAGAAAAAATATACTAAGAGAAAAAAAAATGTATTTTTGAGACCATTTGATCATAAGGAATGTCTCGTACTTTTGTAGTGGTCTAAATTTCATTATTTATGAAAGAATATATGGATAGATAATAAATACATATTCAAAAATGGTGTTTAATTTTTATTTTATTTTTTATTTTTTGGTGAACCTTGATTTTTATTACTTTAATTTATAATAAATTTATTTTTTATTTATTAAACTAGCCGTTATTCAACTTAATTATTATTCAACAAAAAAAAATTCTACCAACACAAATCTACACAAATTATTAATTATTTAAATTTGTCATTATTCAAAGCACTCGTTATTAAAAATATACAATATTCAAACTAATTGTTATTTAAATTAATTATTATTAAAAGTAACTAATAGTTACACTAGTTGTCATTCAAAGTAGGAGTAGTTGGTAGTATTCAGAAAGATAGGGTGACAAAACTAGTCTGTTAGACATGTTCGTTTTGCTCGCACTTTGGTGTGGGATGTGGCAAGAGTTTAGGCCCTCACTCTTTAATATGTTTACTCCACCCCGTCCCTTTTTCTTTTGTGTTTTTGCAGGCACGGACATTTAAATAAATTTTTGCATTTTTAGACTTAAAAAGTGGAGTATTCGCGGGTTTTCTCTGCCCCGCCTTCACTTTTTTGCAAGGCGGATTTAGGTTTTAGGCTTGCATCCTCAATTATACCTGTTCCCACCCCCACCTTATTTTTTGCAGGCTTTTGCTGGGTGGGCATGTCAATTTGTCACCCCTAGTCAGAGATATGTGTAAATTAAACAGACTTGAGTTCCGATGCGATAGAGTGGACTTTCAATACGTTGGAGTGGGGTGGATTTGTAAGGTTAACACTTCATCTTTAAGTCAGTGAATGGGAGACAAAGTAGATTGAATGTACGAATGAGATTATAGTTAGAATGGTATGTGTTGAACTTTACATAGTTTAAATGGTTATAGTCAACCCCGCGTGACTCAGTGCATTAGCCGAGGGGTTGTTCGATTACATCTGATATTAAGTCATTGAGGCCTAGACATGCACATTTTTGGAATATGCCTAATCGTGATTGGCCTTTGCCGCCTTTGGGCCTATGGTCGGCCAGGAATAGTTGCCCCAAAATTTCATCATTGCATAGGAATAAAGAGACTTTTCATAATACTAGGTTGATGTCTCATTCAATTGTGGTCCACGTGACAGATTCTTATCCTATGGAAATGGAAAGGAATAGAGAGTGGAAGTAAGTATAATTAGGAATATGCACATTAAATAGGAGTCTTGTCATCGAAATGTTTTGCATGGATTCTCTTCCATGTGGCCCTAGAGCCTTAGCGTATGGCGAAGTTGCGTTACAGGGTGCTTAGTGCACTTGAGTGTCGTTTTCCCGAGCTGAATCTTGTCCGTTAATTTTCGTCTTCCTGTTTCCCTTTGTTTTAGACTGCTGATGTGTTTCCCTTGTTGTGTTATATAAAGGTTGTTTCTCTTTTTAAGTTATGTTTTACTTATTTGTGCAAGCTGCCTTTTTCTTTCTTCGCCAACTCCGATCATTTTTATATGAACTTCCGCGATGATGTGTTTTTCCTATTTTCCTTTTCAAATTCACGACTTTTTTTGTTCCTTATGCTTCGAGCAATTCTCATTGCAACTTCAGCTTCGCACATTCAATATTCTTTAGGTGCCATTTTTCTCCTTGTTATTTTATGTAGTCATTTTCTACCCTTTATTTTAGTAATAGCCAATCTAGGAGAAAAATGTGTAAACATTATAGACATATCCAATAGTGATGATATAAGTGGGGCTTCATTTTGCACCAAGGTGTTAGACCTAGAAGTTTAAGACATTGATCATTTGGTGAGTACTCATTTTTTTACTAACTTTATCGTCCTTAGTTACAATTTTGAGTCTATCGAGGGTTATATTAAAAGTGATGGTGACTCAAATACCCGTTTGTATGGAATCACATATAACCTCATAGGTGAAATTGGTGGAGAAAACTTCGATTTCCCCCTTATTCGAGAAGTATGTCATGATGATCTGAGGACTCGTTCTTTCTTTAATGTTGTTAAGTCTCTGTACATTCAAGAACCTACTGGTAAGAAACTTTATGTGCATCTTAATTTTCAAGGTCGTTCCAAAACTCATTACAAACATTTTTGTTTTATATGCACGGGAAACAAAATCATAAATTAATAATTTCTTTGTTATTATTTTGATTAATATGATATATAAGATAATTATAAAATATAATACATAATTCTATAGATATAAAAATAGCATTTTAATATAACAAATAACATTATGTTGCACCCCAAAATTTGACCAACATTTATTTGCCTATCAAGTGTTTGAAGGTTGATATCTTCATCAGAAAGTTCAGGAGATCCTCAGAGGAATTGGTTGAAACCAAAGTTGTGTGTCTCATAACTTGAGAGTTGTGGGTGCTCCTCAGATGATTCTGAGACTCTGAAGAATATACTTGAAGCTTTGATAAAGTCTATGATATGTCTTGAAAGCCATCATGGAGCCTAGAGAGGTCATTATGCAAGAATTCAGAAGATTCAGCCATGAGTGGTGAAATTAGGGTTTTGACTGGGTCAACCCTAAGTCCACTGAAGATTTGGAGAAGGTTGAGACCCAATCCAAGGGCCATGAGATCATGGAATGATGCATAGAGATGTTATAAAGATGATTCCTAGACCAACTCATCATGATTGAGGAGTTTGAGAAGTTTTGAGTTAGGGTTTCTGAGGATTGTCAGTGAAAAAACCCTAGTTTGATCCCTATCTTCCAGGAAGTTTTAGCTCAAGATGTGATTGATATCTCATCTTCCCCACAACATGAATGTTGTAAAGCTTGTTCTTAGCTTTAATTTGAGTGGTAGAAGTCCTTGATAGGAGTTGCAGAGCTCAAGTTATGGTTTTGACAAATTACAGGTCAGCTGAGGTGTGTGAATCTGGGTCCTTGAAAGTCACCCAACTTGCAGACAACTTTTGCCCTAGTAGGATGATTCCTATGATCTCTTGGTCAACATGAATGTTGAAGAGAATCTTCTTATATTTCTAGAGAGTACTAGAAGTCCTTGATAGGATTTGTAGAACTCAACTTATGGTTTGAACAAGACAGGGGTATTTTGGTCATTTGGAAGTTATAGGTCATTTTAAGCAAAGGCCATATCTCCTATTTCCAAGCCTCAAATGAAAAAACTCAAAACATCAAAGTTGTTCAAAATGGGATTTTAAGCCTAGAAAAGTGGTCATGAGTTATTGAAAAAGCTTAGAGCATGGATTTTTAAAAGTGGTGCAAATGGCGTGTAAATGGCTTATAAGTTGAAAAAGTTGAAATGGAATTTTGGTTTGAGAGATCTACAAATCCAAAATGGGTCATCCAATATGTCATTTTGACTCCAAACATCATTTTAAAAACAATGGTTCAAATAGATTTTTGAGTTTAGGCTTAAAAATTGGAGTTGCTTTGTAAATTTGTTTCTTGCATTTTAAGGCACCAAAAGAGAAAGTGAGAAAATACTACATAAGGGTTTGTAAGGCCTTGTTTTCATATCATAATATCATGTGGGGAGAAATTGAGTGGGATTGCATGGTTTATCATGAGTTTGCATGAGAATTACCAAATATGGAAAATTCTAATTCTCATTGCATGATACATTTTAGAAACCTCTTGGAAGATTCTCAAAGCTTCCACACATTTCCATTGACATCTATATATGCCCTAGAGGTGATCCATGCCCTGGTTGGTGATTGAGAGAGCTTGCACCACATAGTTTGATTCTATAACTCCATCTTGCATTTTGCTTTCAAACCCCATTGAAACTTCATCAATTAGCATCATTCTTGTTATCATCATCATCTACCATCATCATAGAGCAATTGGCCAACAAAATTGAGAGGAATTCGTGGCTGGTTCATGAGATCCAAATCTTCACTCCAAGGTGCATGAAGAATTGGATAGAGTGA